TTAGTTTCGGAAAATGTGTGACAGTTCAGTTGTTATTTTGCAACGGCTGAAGTTGATGAAGTGAGTGGACAAGTTCTCGGCTCGTCACCTCATCAAGTCATTTCTCAAGTTTTTTTTTGTTGAGGGGGTTCCAGGGCCCCCAACGTCTCGGGATTTGTCCAACGGTTAATACACCCGCAACCCCCGTTTAGTCGCGACGTGTCGTTTGGTCGGAACACAGATCGGTTGTCTAAAAGACACGAAGCCACGGCCAAGACAAACCTTAAATGCTTGCTAACCAAACAGTCGGAATTAGCTGAGGCACCCAACAGGGTTTTCAAATTCTCCCCATCAGATTCCCTTCAGACATCCGTCCAACCGGAAGAGGGAAGAGAATCCCATAAAAATTTCATTTTCTATATCAGGAAAAGAAAGAAAAAATCGACTACAAATTTGTGGAAATCTCAAATACAAAATCGTCTGAAATTTTAATTGCACGAGTTGGAATCCAATTTCAATGAAAAATCATCAAATTTCTCATTTCTGTCATTTTTGTCTTAAAAATTCAAGAGAATTAATTTCTTCATGTCAAGTAATAATTCCTTATCAATGCAATCAATTATAATCAGTTAATAATTAAATTAATTAAAATAATGGAATCTTTAAAAATAAAGATTCCATACGGATCTGAAAATCGCCAATTACTAGAATATTTAGAAAATTAACTCCAACGAAGAATTCCCCAGAAATTTCACGTCCCTCTGTCATTGTAAAAAATTTTCCATTTTCAAACTCGAAAATTCAAATATAATTTTCCAACACTCTCATTTCTTCCCGATTACTCCAAAAATTGTGAGGTACTCAAAAACATGTGAATGAGGGAGAGAAAAAAATGAAAAAACCAATGACTGAATGAATTGCCAGAGATTTCCGACAAAACGTAGTCTTCAAATGGTCAGAATGAAATTTAGTTGTATCATTTTTTGAGTGGAATGTGCAATATCGGTATTTGAGACGATCCACTCTGGACTTGACTGACAGGCGATTTATTTCTTCAGGCCACAATGAGGAAGGAAACGGTGCCGATTGGCTTTCAAGACAAATAAACGAGAATGGGGCCAAAGGGTTGAGATTTAAGAGAGCAAATTCAGGCATTTAAATAATTTCCAACTCATGCGCGAGACATATCATTTTGGACAGGCGACTGAATAATCACTGAGAAATAAATATTCCACCGGTTATGTTTATCCCCCTTGTTATCTCAAAATTCATTGCAGCGTAAGGATCGAGCCTGATACGAGAAATAATAACAAAGTGGAAGAGAGATAAGAGGAAAAGGAAAGTGCCGAAAGTGGTGGAGACGCTTTGCACATGTGCACAGGTGCAAATCGTGTTTCTTCTGCGTCATTCCTCGTTTCTCTCGCGAAATAAGACAGTCATAAAATTCTGTTTATTTATTTTCACTGCAACGTTTTTCACTCCCTCATTATTATCATATCCCACAGCGATGATTTTTTTTTTTATTCTCAAGTCCAAGGTCATATTTTGTTAACAATATTGTCACAATGGGACAAATATTTTTATCGTTTGCCATTGATTTATGGAGAGAATCGGAGGGAATGGGTGATACATTGGAACAGTGGGTGGAAAAACAAAGGGCGATGGATGGAAAAAATGGGGATTATATTGGTGGGTGAAATCGATAAAGCTGTGGCTTTTGCTGCAGTTGTGAATTCGAGGGAAAATGACAATTCACCAGTGGAATTATGAGGGTTGGGTAATAGGTGAATGGCTCGGTGAGAGATACAATATGCAAGTGGAATACGCAACCCTATCTGGCCGCACCAACCGCGGAGTATCACTGCTCTGCATCCAGATAATCCCCTTGGTTCCATTGATATGCTGATCGTGGGTACTTGTCGCGTGAAATTGCCTCCCGGCATTGCCACATTGTCCCCGTTTGATTCATCCACGGTGCGTTCATATGCCTCGTCTTTCTCTATCCAATTCTCACCATACAAATACCCAAAATACAAATAGCGTCAATTCAGACGTGACGATCTGAACGTACCATTCAATACTATCGGTGAAGCACAGATATGCCCTTTTTCATTCTCAAACATCTCATTCTCCCGTAATAAAAAGGTATCACGCGAGTGAAACCATTTTTACTAGGTAATTAGAATTCATTAGAAATTCCGAGACATCAATGATCGAGAAGCTCCTCTCAAGCTCTTCTCAAGCTCCTCTGAATCATTCCATTGCGCAAGTTTGACTGACATTTACCCATTTTTATTGAAGACACTGTGCCATATGCACTAGATTTTACGGAAATTGAAGGAAATGAAAGAAAAATAATGGAGTAGATTTGAGTTATTGATATTCGGTTGGGAGTGTAGGGAATAAAATTGTTAAAGGAACGAAAGCCCGGAGAATCCATGAAAGGAATAAAAGTATTAAAGAATCCCTAAATTCCTCATTCATCCTGAAAATTCACGATAATTGGGTTTTCGTTGAGTGATATTGAATAATAATAGATTTTTCAATAGATGAAGATCTCCGAATGATTATAAAAATTCAAGAGCAATTAATTCCGTGGAACCTCAGGTTTCTTGGAAAGTTGAGCTTTAGAAAAGGCAGAGGCGAGTATTTTCTTTAAAATGTAACTCAATTCCAAATAGAGTTGGAGCCCTCCTTTCCCATCATCCTCTGTCACTCAGACAGGTCTTCCCTGAAGGATGTGCCAGGGGCTTGGGGAAATTCATGAAGCACCCGATGAATCTCATGATGAATGCGTTCAAGGCTGGAAATTGAATCAACCATTGAATTATGGAGGCTTCTGGGCCTCTCACTGATGATTTCTGCGCATTTTTCCACCGAGTGAAGGCCTGGCTCGTGTCTTCCAAATCGACATCATTCCACTGGGGTTTATGCGTGACGGCATACACTTAGAATTCTCCGTCTTGGTTTCGCCCGAATGTATCTCTGCATGACCTAGACGATTTCGGAGATATGACGCCCAGGCATACCCAAGATAACAAACAAACTTGCTCTGGTCGTTTTCGTATCCCACTCATCTTGTTCGGTTCGAGAATTGATACAAAATTGTTACAACGATTTCCTCGCGAACAATTCTAAATCAAAATTTCGGTGTATCCGCAGAGATTCAATGAATTTGACTCATAGTCATGATCAATCTAAATTTATCGAGGTTACTTGTATTTTCTCCTGATTTCAAATGCATTCAGATATTTAATTAAATTATTGAATGATTAGTTATTCATGTGAATCGGAAAGAATTCTGGCAATTTTTAAGATAAAGGGGAAATGAATGATTCTATTTGGATTTTTCTGGTGTCTATCAATTTTAAGCGAACCATAATATTCAAAATGAGAATGTCGCGGACAGAATAAAATAATCAAACTCAGCGAGTGGGTTTATTGTTTCTAGCGAGATAAGAAACAAGAATACGAGGGTTTTTATAATACACAATGTGTTGGATAGGTCATGGGTAGGTAAAAGTTTGTTATTCAAAGGTTTTGAGATTTTCTAAACACTCGGAGGAAGTCCTTGCCCACGGCACTATAAAAAACCCAAATATCAAAACAAGAATAAGAATAATACATGAAAAACCGGAGTGACGTACACTGAGGGGCAGAAATTAATTTCCCTTCGAGTGTAAGTACAGAGACAGTGAAAAAATGATGATGAAAAAACGGTAGGAGAGAATACAGTGGACGCAGAAGACAATTAAACTTTGGGTAAAACTTCAAAAGGGTTTATATCAACCCGACGATGGCCTAAGGCTCTTGCCAGGGTTCGAGATAGCTTGAGTGTTTAATTTAAATGAAAATTAGGAGGACCCCTTCCTTGCAGTCTCTGTGACTCCTCTCTGGGGGTGATTTTCATGCATAACGCGTCCATATGAATTTCAATCAATTTTTCCATCATCCCCGAGGAATAAAACCTCTTCCAACGACACTATCAATATACCAACGATTAATAATTCCCACGATACGCATTGGTAATAGCCATTTTTCATCTTCAAACGACCGATGAATGAATCCACCGATCATTCCTCGCCATTCATTAGCCCTCCAGAGGTTCCAACATAAACGTTTCTCTTGGCATGAGATCTCAGTCTGCAGTGTTCCCGCTTGAAAGCCCAAATTCCAAACGATAAAGGCTCTGCCACGGGGATTTCTCCGGAGATACCATCAGAGAGTTAAAAAAAAATGTAAGAGATGAAACATTCAACGTTGAAGTACATCAAGATGATGGCATGGAATACAGTGAGAGAGAAGAGGTGTCCCTCGAGTGTTTTCGCAAGCCGGGAGTCGAACCCTTGGAAAAACACAGGCCAAATTGAATCCCTCGAGTATAAGAACCGTCTACTCTGGCTTGTCTGCGCACCACTCACTAGTCACTACTGTCCTCCCCTCATAAACCCTCAATTTTCCAAAGAATTCAAATAAAAATCCACCCCCAATTACCAAAAATCAACCGAAACCGACAAGAGATGAATAATCGATTAGAATAACATGGATCCTTCGATTGGATTTCAAATCGATATCAACGATTCGATGGCGAATCCCCAGAATCATCTCGATAGCACCCAGCAATCTCAAATTCACTGGTATCCTCTAAAAAATTCACCAAAACTCCCCCCATCGCCAAAAATCCTCTCCACATTTCCCTAGATTCTCCAGATAGGCGTGATCATCTAATCCCCAAGTTCACCACAGCCATTGGTGGCTTTTGCCAAGTGGGCGTCACCCGGACACGAGACATCTACCACTGACATCAGTCTCTCCTACTCCAATCTGGGCGGAGTTTGTGACGAAATTTTGGTTAAAAAATAATTTCCCCTAGTGAGGAGCACCCCTCCAACCGAGTGTCGCTCCACTTACTCGAGGGGAAGAGGGGGGACAATTGAAAAGGATTTTTGGGTAGGAGGGTTGGAGGTAGAGAGCGCATCCCAGTGTGAGCATCAGCCAAAAGGAAAGGAGGAGGCTGACGACACTCTGCCACGAGCGTGACGAGCCCCCAGTGTGTTTTTACTCGGGACTGAGTAAACGAGAAGCTTGTTGTGTATCATAATATCGTAACATCGCGATCTACAAAATCAGGGTGATTCTAAAAAGAATCTATTCAACCTATCTCAAGGTCTTACCACTTAACCATTTCAATTGAAAATCAATTTCACCCATTTTTTTGTGCTAAACAGTGAATTCAATGATTTTGTGATAGTGCAGATATGGATAGAACCAGGCTGGAGAATTAGTATCAAATAGACCATCAGTGTAAAGTGATTGATAATTATTTTGAGTTTACCGAGGTGACGTAAGAATAATCGAAGGACCAATTGTCAAGATGCATACGTTATTTGGTGAACAGAATGCGTATTATCGTCATGCGACGGGTGTACCAGTGAGTATGGGAACACCATCGTATCCAGGAGTTGGTGGAGCACCGGGTTATTACGAGCAATATCGTTATGGAGGATATGCAACAGCAGCTGGATACCCAGTGCCTGGGATAGGACAGCACAATATGCATCATCCTGGTAAGGACATGGTGAAGCCGCCCTATTCTTACATTGCCCTCATAGCAATGGCTATTCAGAATGCCCCAGACAAAAAAATAACTCTCAACGGAATCTATCAATTCATAATGGAGAGGTTTCCCTACTATCGTGAGAACAAACAGGGCTGGCAGAATTCAATCAGGCACAATCTAAGCTTGAACGAGTGCTTCGTCAAGGTACCGAGGGACGACAAGAAACCAGGTAAAGGTAGTTACTGGTCCCTGGATCCAGACAGTTACAACATGTTCGATAATGGCTCCTATTTGCGGAGGAGAAGGCGATTCAAGAAGAAAGATGCCCTAAAAGAGAAGGAGGAGGCACTAAAACGACAGGGAATTGTCACCGAGAAGAGAGAGGATGCGAAAGCGTCGGCACTACAGACGGATTCGGCGAAGAAGCTCGGGGTTCATGAGTGTAAACAACCGAAAAGAGAGCCCTTGAATGACCAGAGCCATTGTATGGCAAATTCCGTGGGTAAATATGCCATTCAGGAGGGAAAGACAGCCACAACAACTGCCAGTGTCATTCAGACTAATTTGGCACACCAACCGACGGCTCACCAGGTCCATCAGCCCCATCAAGTTCATCAGGATGTATCGATGAATGATGTCAATCTGGGATTGGATCCCGCTGGCTTCAGTGTTGATGCACTCATGACCACCAGTAGGGATCATCATCCTCATGGCATTCAGCATCACACAACTCATTCTCATGGTTCGGTTATGGCTGCTACACCTGCTGTTACGACGACCAGCAGCACCACTGCTGCGGTCGCTGCTATGATGGCATCCAGTGGTTATGGACATGTTACACCCTCCAGGGGTAATTCCACTCCTCCTGGGAGCATGTATTCACCTTATTGCCCGAGCGCTGCCACGGGGTACATCATGGAGCACGCGGATTACAATGCACCAAGTAGAAATCACAGTGGGGCGCATTCACAGTGGTACCAGGAGGCTGCCAGTCCTGATAATGCGGGCATCTATCAGGACACTCAGTCACCGAGTTGTCAATTGTACAGGTATAAATTTAATCACGATCACTTGATTATCAAGTGTAATTGGTCAATTGGTTGATTGTTTAATTGTTTTATCGTTGTTCTGGTGTCTTACAGGTCGAGTCCACCAACTCCGTTGTCCTCGAGTGCTGCTCCATCGCCACCACTGTATCACAGATACTACCAGGACTGCAATGCAATCAGCACCGGTGGAAATCTACCGATAACGCTCCACAAATACTGAGATTACCGTTCATCAAGGTCTCATCGGGACCTTGAAGCAATCACTAGCAATCATTCACACAATCAGGCTCATCATCATCACGAGTATGACCCTGGCATGGTCTACATAAAACAAGAGTGGACATCGCCGGACGAGCTCACGAAAGAATGGAACTGAAATAGAGAAATATCTCTGGCAAACCCACCGATGGAACATCAAATTTGTTTCAATGTCGATACATTTTGCTAAGTCAAGGGTTTCTCGCATCTGTGCAAATTAATCGTTCAACGTACACTTGACCTGGGCCAAATATTTCGCCACAACACCCATTTATCAGTATTGTTGTTGAGGGAATTGTCATTTCCCACTTGCAAAAATTTTTCGTTATTTTTACTTTTTTTTTTGTTGAATAATTGTATCTTTCTCGTTTTGAACACCCGCAACTGTGCAAACGGAGACCGATGGGCAAATAATCGACGCAATGGGAATAATTCTTATTCATCTCATTCTTTCCTCTTTTTTTTTTCCTGTGTTTACCAATCGTCTGTAATAAATATGTTGTATCGTACCCGGAGGAGACCCATAACGCGAGGACGAATCAAAGTCGTTTCCTCGTTTGTTAAATCGAGCTTATGGTTTTCCTTCGGATCGACACATCACCGAGCATTTATCCAACTGTATAAAAATTTCTAATTAACGTCATTCCTTTCTCTTCTTAGCGTGAATTAGAAGAATTCTGGAACGTTTTCGCAAAAAGAGCTGAGATATATTTATTGATAGTAAATAAAGAGGTTCTAAATGAAATAAATAATGTGAATAAATAGATAAATCGTAAATGTAGGAACAGATTAACGATAATGTTGTAGTTGGATAATCAACGCAACAAAAACCGTGCGAATACGTACATTTAGAGATACTCTTTGCGTGTATTATATTATTTACATGAATAAAAGAGTTATATAGACTATAGAATTGTATAGTTAACGATAGATAACATAGAAAATATATATATATATTGAAGTGCATATGGCAATGTCTCGCGTGTTGTGAGACTGATTGATTTATTATTATTACAATTATAGCAATTATGGACTTGGGGAAGGAGTTGGCAAGAGAGCGACTTTCCAAAATAAATATTATTAAAAAATATTTTTCCATTGATTTTTCATATTATTACTTCGATTATTTCCTCTTTCGCGGCGATTAATCTCCAAAGTGGAATTTACGAGGAAAACATTTCGAGGCACTTGGATCTACTCGTGAGTTTCTGCCGAGGAGAATTTAATAATAAATGCAGTAAGATGAAACAGATGTGGGTTGGATTGAACTTTGCTTGCATCTACAAAGTACCTTTCACTTGATTTAACCACAAACTGCCAGTGGGCTAGCATTCACTCAAAGCTTGGGGCGATGGTAAAATGTATCGTCCATTTGAGAAGTCTCAAACGAAAAATTCGAATCTCTTGCATTTTTCTGATTTGAACGGACTAGGGTGAGGGGGGGGAGAATTTTGGGTGGTCGAAAATTAGCCGCAGGGCGGGATTTTCATAGCATCTGCTGGGGAAACACGTGCTCCGGATAAAACCAGAGGGGGCCCCTTTGCCATTCAGGACCCAATCCGTTGGTTCGGAGAATGATAGAGTATCGAGCTCAGACAACAGTCGTACCTTCAGGGATTTTAGGGGAAGTTCCTGGAGCTTGGACTTTGGGGGTTTCCCGGGGGCTCAGCATTTTTGAAATTCTACTCCCCAATTTGTTTCGATCGGGGTTGCGAGTGTTTCATCGGTTGATCCTTGATACTAGTGGTCGAGTGAGAATGTGTGAACACGCGAGAGAGTCAATCCCTATGCCAACATCCACAGCAAACACTTTACTGATTCTCCTTAGCAAACATCGAAATCCTATGTCAATTAAAGCACGTCCCCTTGTATTCTTTGAAATCGACCCGAAAATTTTTCAAATTCCACCCTCGACTCAGGTGCAACCCCCGTGCACCTCATTTCAAGCCCCTTTTTACTCAAAACATCACACCTCACGGATAAAACCACCATTTCTTCAGAAAAATAATTATTTTCCATAAACAAAAAGATCTACGGACATTCTCAATGAATTCCTCTCGTGGAAAATTCAGAGACACGTTTCAGAAATTTTCTCCAACCGAAAATCGGATCACTAGATTAATGAGTGGTACATTAATACAAGGGGAGGAATTCTTCAGGAAAATTGTAGGAATTCTATTGCAATGGAAATAAAAAACGGGGAAAATTTCACCTGCCGAATAGAAAAAAGCAATTGGGGATAAATTGAAGATGGAAATATTTTCTGGTGAGTGTCAGATGATGTGGGCTTACTAAAACAAACATTCCATTTTTTTTTTTTCGCCGGTATATTCGTCCTCTCTGTCGTCACTCTGCCCTAAAAACGTAAACGGAAGTCCCTCCGTGGGAATGCCTCGAGTTATTCCTCAAAAAGAAGAGGAAAAAGTAAAATGAAAAATTCAGTAGAGCTCAACAAAATAAATCTTAGCAAAAATATGGATGGAAGTATGGGGTGAGCTGTGTACACTGGTTAACCGGGAATTCCGTTTCCCGCGAGCGATTTCAACGTCGTCTCCCTGACGTACAACGAGAAAGACGAACAGGTGGTGAATTTCCCAGGCTACCCCTCACGGGGAAACGTGGAAAATTGTTCAGAATTTCGCTATCCACCTCTTCTCTTTACCCAACTCTCAACGTCTCCGATATTTCCTCGCCACTACATTTCATGAAAGAAATTGATAATTGAGTTATAAAAAAGATCTTGAGGAGACGGAAACACTCGGTAGGAAAATAAACATGATGAGTAATCACGTGAATATTTTCCTTGAGAATTTTCTGACGGTTTTTCTTCATTAATTGCGATTGGTCCTCAAACACAAACGAAACACAAACATCCGAAATTTTTGAATCTACTAATTTACGCTCAATAACGTGAAATAATCAAATAAAATATTGGAGAATTAATTTTATATTTTAGAATTTTATATCACGAGAATTTCCTATTTTCTCAGGGGAATTTTTTTATATATTTCTTCATATTTTCCATAATTACTGAATCAGATCGATGGAACGTCCGGTATAGTGAATTTTAATAATTATTGTGGTATTTCACATGCAATAAAAAGACTGGCTGTTGCATTCTTCTCTGTCTATCCACTAATCTCACGAATTTACTTTGGAATCCGTTGACGAGCGTTTCAAATAGTCGTCAACGTGAAAATGCACCGGATACGAGTTTACATAGGTAACATATATACACAAAAACATGGCAGCATCCAGAGCTGTTTGCATATACTCCTTTTGGCCACATTCACTATTAAAACTACTTCCCCTCGTTCCTCTCTGCAGGGTTTTGCGCTCCAGGCGCGATTAAATGCGATGGGTTGGTTGTGTATCCGTTATAACGTGTTTTCACAGAGCAATTTAGCATTTAATGTCGTAATGACGATCAGAATTTTCGCCGGCGAATCCATCGGATTAGCTGTCAATTCTTTCTACACTGAGAAAAAAATTTAGACTTCAATTTAAATCCGTCGTCAGAAATATTTTGAAAACTCATTTCAAATTTGTATTTTTTATGAGCGTGTAGAATTACAATGGATTGATTGTTTCAAACATTTTATTTAATTCACGAAATTTTTCTCTGAGTGTAGGTTTTTAATTCTTCACTTGAAAAAATAGGAACGAAAATAATGACAAAGCCACTGCTCTTCCTGGTAAAAAAAAATTGTAATCGGAACATTTTTTCCAAATTTTCAAAATTTCGGGAAAACTTTTCGGAAACTTTTCCTTTTGAAACAAAAAAAAACGGGAAACAAAACAATTGTATTTTTGGAAAATGTTTTGAAAAATTTTTCAAAAATTTGTTTCGAAAATTTTTAAAAATAATTTTCTAGAAATTTTTGCGAATATAAGTTTTTCTGTTAATTAAACTGTTGTTTTCTTACTTTTTTGATTTTTCAATATTCTAAAAAAAACGCCGTCTATATTATCAAAAAAAATTTCTGAAAAGTTTTCCAGAAATTTTTTAAAAATTCGGAAGAAATATTCCCATTACAATTTTTTTTACCCGGGCTCATAAGAAATCGTGAACGAAATTGAATTCTAATTCTTCCGGAAGGATTAGCAATTTCTTGATATTTTTCATTGGAAAAATGAAGCATGAAAAGCGATTTTTTAAGGTTTAACTCCATCAGACCCAGAAAGAAAACAAAAAAATATATTTCAACGTTTCATTATGTTCCAGTAGTGGCCAATGTGGTTAGCGATCCGCTGAAAATTCTTTTTCACCAGCTATTCCATGCCTCGATTAATACGAATATAATCGCCTACAAGAAGAGTAACAATTGCCAGTACAATAGCACCAGTGTGACAGGAGAGAATCACTTGCGGACGACTTGGCATTTAAACCTGAAAATTCACCCTCTGTGGTGGGCCTAGATGATGTTGATCCCGAGAACCGGCGAAAAGGTACATCTCTTCTCTCACTCAATAACTTTGGACGCACCCCACGCTATTTATGCGCGTGGCATTGGTTCACTCACTCGTGAAAACTTTCAAGTGCACAATGGGGATGTTTCCTTGTAGAAAATCCCTTGAAATGGATATACCACGGCATTCTCAGGTCCTTCATCCATCCAGAAACATCTAATTATCCACCCCCATTGGTACAGATACAAGGCAATAGAATTCTTCAAATGGCTATTACAATTCATTCATTGTTTCACTTTTTCAGAGGCCAGAGACAAGTATTTTAATTTAATAGCATTTTTTCTCATCATCATTAATACTAACAGTAATTATTATTATTTTTTTTGTTAATAATAATATCGATCTAGGTATTACGTTATTTAAGGATCTTTTCGAAAATTCAAGAAAATGGAATTTTTTGTCGAGAATTAAATTTTCGAGAAAAAATTGAATCCAAAATGCAATTTAATTTAGAATACTGCTGTTAAATAAATTTACTTGAACAATTGGTAATCTTGTAATTAACTGATGGGTCAATGATGAATTATAATTTGCCAACAGTGGAATTAGAAAATTAAGGACGTGAGAGATTAATTATAAATTGATTCCTAGAAGTAGTTTCATTCATTGGAGTATTCTAAACAGTTATATCCCTGGGATATAAACACGTTGACGTGCACCACACGCATTATATATATATACCATTATATAT